GGTGACTTATAGCTCAGCGTATAGCTGGTCGGTGCCGGGTAGACGGAGCCGGGGCTTCGGCTCAGGCTCTTTCTGCTCTATCTCCTTGGGACTGCAGCTGTCTACACCATAGCTAGGCGTTCAGGGAAGACGTGTGCTTTCAGTCTCCAGTATTTCAAAACTATTTAGGCTTCAGGCATCCATCAGAGCTGCTTTTTATATCTGCCCATGATCAGCAGCAAAAGGTGACGCCCATGCCACCGTCTAGAGTCGTCGTTTGGAGAGGGAGCTGCAGCAAACGAAGCTGAAGCCCAGGTCTTGCTTGGGTTGAGGATGAGTGGTGAGCCATCTTGTGAATGGTGTTAGCTCTGTTTTCTTACTCAGGATCTTTTGCAGTTACTATTAGCTAAAAATGCTGGTATCTTCCTAAGCAAAAACAGAGGCAGCTAAGCAAAAGCCAATGACTGCCATAGATACCATCTTTTTAGACCACATGGAGGCAAAATTCAAATGCCTCTAAGAACCAGAAGATCTGAAACACTTCTGACGCAATGAGCCCAATGTAAGAGTAAGGCACCTGGACTGGGATATGTACTACCCATGTTTCAGGTCAGGGCAGATCTCCCTGGGTGGATAGGTCTCCTGGGAGAGGACGGGCTGGTGATTTGAGGTGTTGTGGTAAGGTGTCTTGTAACTGTGGCTGTGCTAGCTCTGGAGGTTACTGCTCCTCTGTATTCATCACTGCTCTGTTAGAGGCTGCTAAGGGTGAGCTGAGCTGTTCATGGACTGGGTACAAAAAACCAACCCTTAGCAAACTACTTAAAGGTTAGTAAACATAAACACATATATATATATATAAAAAAATAAATAAAGGTCACCTATTATATTGATTATCTTCTCCCCTGAAATTAAGTAGGAAGCCTGGCTGGTAGATAAGAGTACGCATAAGGGGTAAGGAGTGGCAATTGGTGACAGTAACTTCTTTAACAGTACGGGTACAGCCAGAAGAAGACCTAGACCTACACCTTTAAGCGGTAAATAGCCTGCAGAACACTTCTTGTGTGTTTTCGTGTCAGTTAGGACTAAACTACAGCTGTACAGCTAGCTTCAGGTGTGCCCTATCCATGTCATGACAGTACATTAAAAGGAAGAATTACAGAAACCTCAGTTCAGATGCTATGCAGCCACCTTGTGTTACTCATGGGGAGAGAGACAGCACAGCCTCCAGCCTCAGCACAAGAGGCTGGCAGAAATGGGCTTCCAAGTCTTTTCAGTCTTCCTGTATGACTTCAGTAAAGCATGTCCTTATGCCTCACTTTCTTAATCTGTAAAAGGGGGGCAGTTTTTATTCACTAAATAAGGTTGTTGTGAAGTTAAATTAATTACTGCAGGTAAAGAGGGTTATGTCCTCTGAAGGCAGGTGTTAAAAGCAAGAATTTATTACTAAAGGAACATGATGGGTCCATTTGAACTTTGTTCAGGAGACTGCAGTATTTATTGATTGGTAGCTTTTGGCAGGGGGAGAAATGGTGCAGATACCTTAGGGAAGTAAACTACAGGAAGGTATGTGAAGGCATTCATGCTCTTACTAACGTTATTGTAAATCTTGATCCTTTAATAAAGCTGTGACCTTGGAGTTGACAACTAGTACACCATGGAGCAATATATAACATGGCACCACCCTTGTAAATCTTAAGTAGTTTTTGCCATTCACACTGACAACATATAAAGAGAAATCAGGCAGCTGAAGTTTATGAAACACTTATTTGAAGGAAAGCATTTTAAATCAGACTTTTTAGATTAAATTAAACCAATAGCCCTGCCAACTTCTTATTCCTCATGATAAAACATGTTTGTGAAATGAAATCTCAACAGTGAAAACTTGTACAACTGCTCATAAAATTTTGCTGTTTGCAATGGAGCAACTACCACCGAAGAGGTACATTTTAGATCACCGTTGCACAGTTACTTTACAGTGTTGTACTAGTTTTTATACAACTAGTATTTTGGCTGCTTTCTTGACAATGCTGCTGTTGGTGCAACAGCGCGTCTCCTTGCCAATAGGAAAAGGGCAGGGATTTGTTCTGTGGGAGCAAAGATGGATGTGAGCAGAAGAGGAAGGAGAAAGCTGTGTCACTGTGGGTAGATCAGAAGGTGCCACGTGCAAGGGAAGGACATCCTTTGCTGTTGCCAGATGTATCTATCACTACTGACAAAGAACTCTTCCAGCCACAGACAAAACCAAGGACAACACTCCTTCAGTGGTACCATATTTCATACATACAAAAGTTTTCTTTATATTTTTCAGATGTGCAGGAAGCCATAAATCCAGTAACTTTTTTCTTTTATTTTTTGAGTACTTTGGCAGACCAGATTTTTTTTTTTTAGTTATTCAAATGTTCCTGCAATTCTCATTCTTTGTAGCACCACTGTCCATCTTTCTGACTGAGTTTTCATTCCTAAGGACGGTTCTCAAAGAGAAAGGAAAGCAACTTTCCCAGGCAGGTGAAACATTGAATATTTCTCTTCCCAAAAAAGAGCCACTTTCTGATTCCAAGAAAAAATAGTAAAGACATGTAGTCTATAGAGAGTTTCCTTGTTAACATACTACCAAGCTACTGTGCATGCTTCTATTCATGAACACGAATTTTAATTTCTTACAAACCAACTGCATCTTTGAAAGATACTATGTTAATAGTGTGCATATAAAAACTTGTACATACTTTTTAAACCTACATAGCGTCCTGATTTGAGCTAAAGAGAACTAATTTTCTATTTAGTGATTTTACTTTTCAGTGCAGTCAAGTGGCTGTGCTTGCTGAAACTAACAGCATGTTTTTCCAGACAGTATGTAAATATGACAAGGCCACTGTCTCACCATAGGTGCGGTATCCGCACCCGCAGGAAGGAGCGGAGAGGACAGATCATCTAAAACTGACCAACTAGGTATTCCATCCCATATATGTCATACTCAGTGTAAAGCTGAGGTACCGCAAGGGTCTTGGCCTTTCTCTTGCTCTCCCTCTTGCCCTTCTCCTGTGATGGCCGAAGTCCCAGCAGAACCCTGCTAGTTCATCTGCCTCCGATCCTGATCTGTGTGTTCCTGAATCCTGCTCGCACCTGCTGCTGAGTTTGGTCTGGGACTTTTCCAGTGCCCTGCTCCACAGAGCCTCTGGTGACGTAATGGTCACTGGGGGGGGGGAGGAAGGGTGGGGGACGATTTTGTATTTGTTTTATATATATATATATTTGTACGTATTTCATTATTTTCCTATTTACATTATTATCCTGTAGTATTATTGTTTAAATAAATCTGTTAGTTTTCTTTTCCAACCTCTCTCACTTCTTGTTTTTTTCCTTCTGGGGAGGGAGAGGGGGTATCAGAGTGCGTCTGTCCAGGATTTAGTGGCCTTAAACCTCAACACATAGTAAGAATACAGGTTAGTTAAAAGACACTGTCCATCTCTTGAACAGGCTTCTATGTTTTTACTGTAAAATAATATTCACTTCTTGCTATCCTTTCAAGACAGCTTTCATTTACCAACTTTGCTAATTTTGAGTCTCATCTTGCACTGCAAGTGGAAACTTACGTGTAGTCTTATGGGGTCAGTAATGCTGTCCTTGACAGTAGTAATATGCCTGATACTGTTTTGAGGGGGGTGTTGTTCATTTGTAGCATCTAAAAAGCTGGGTTTTTTTGTCATTTACCTGTAGCATTGCATTGTCTTCAGCAATGTACAAAGACTGACCTGCTCCTGGAACAGAGCTGCAGACACGCAGGAGAGGCTGCTGTCATGCTGTGTTTCTGTACACTGGGCTAGCAGGACCAAGTTCAGGACCATTGTGCTTCAGGCAGAGAAACTGACACTATTTTCTTTCATCCTTGCAAAAAACCCCACATTTTTCAAATGAAACAAGTTTTATTTAAAAGAAAAAGAGAATTTAAAAAGAAAACAATGCTTAAGAGAAAAAAACCCACAACATTTTCAGGTCCATGCAGGTTACGAACACTCATTAACTGCAAAAGGCTAAATTTTAATGACCATGTTTATCTACAGAACACGTTCTTCCACTCTTTTGCAGCAGTCCTTACGCGCTGTTTGGATGACTCACATGGACATATTCTAAGAATGACCCATCCAGAACTCCTTCAGCAAGAACTTCACCAGCAGTGTTTATATCCTGAAAGAAGAAAAAAAGGATATTTTATTGATTATCAAGATAGTAATTAACGTGTTGATACATTTAATTTTGACTGCTTTGTTTACCAGTTAACAGAATACTGGTTTCAGTGGGTTTACATCCATGTTTAAAGTTTACTGCTTAACTTTCTACTCCTTAGTGGTAAACACTGCACCATAAAGCAAAAGAAATCATTATGAAACTTGAAATAAATAAACATCAGATGCAGAAACAGTTTAATTCAGTGATTACACAAAACCCAACAATGCTAATGCTCTTTATTAAAGTCCAGTTTTGTAGCGCACGTTATATTACTGTGTAAATAAATAAGAAGTCTTAGCTATACTTTATGTAGCTAGGTATGTGTGAGCTGTCTTTAAAATGCTATTGTACATAGGTCTGTTTCTGCCAAATTATTAATACGGTTCTTCACCCCTGCCATGCATTTGGACATCATTTTCATTAGTGCCCTATTAAAAAATGTTTTATATCTTTCTTTGGGATTCTGTCTGGATGAGTATCAAACATAAATATAGGAAAGCACTGACTGATATTCTTGAGAGATTCCAACACCATGTTAATGCTTGTGCTGCATTTTGTATTTTACAGCCCACTCAGACAGCAAATGGCTGCAGCAGCTTTCAGCTGTACAATGGTGTTATCTTAGGTTCTTACAGAATAAAAATGGATTGTTGAAACAATGTTAATTTAAAGTACTTAGGTTTTAATTTGAGGATCTCCAAGTCATTTATATCCATGAGCCAGATGCATAATACCTGTTAAGACAAGAGGTAACGAGGTACCTTTCCCTTGTCCCACCATTCGACAGCAACAGAATTGAGGACAGGATCTGTAAGCTGGCACCTCTGAGTACCAGACTATTCTGTTTCTGTACACATCTGCCGTGCTTCATGACTTTGTGGTGCAGTTATCTGCTCAGTTCTTCTCGTGACTTCTTGATTTTAAAAGGTGCGGAAGAAGATATACATAAAGAAATCAAGTCCAGTAGTTTGAAAATATAATTACTCACTATGTAGTCTTCATAATGGAGTATATGTCTGAGTTGAAGATGCCTTATAAAATTTCTGCAGAAGTAGCCTGGATCTCTCCCAGATGTTAAACAACAAATTGGACAATGCTATAAATAAATGGAAGTAAGTGTTCAATTTTCATCTTAGAGGTCTAACAGAAGAAATGTTACCAGTGTTTAAAAAAAAAATAGAAATGTGAAATAAGTGGATCTGGTATGGCCAAACAGTGTTCTCTGAGCAAGATGAATACTGCTAGGCACAGTGCACTCCCAGATCAGCTGTCAATTATGCTAATCCCTGCTGTATAATTCGTGTCTGCAGACATCCCAAGGACTGTCAACCTACATAGATCTGATGGTTAATATATTCCCTCCTGCTAGCTACAAGAGAACAGTCATGCAAAAGCATTTGTTTTATCCAAAATAAAATTTATCATCCAAACAATTAACATATCCATTTGTTTATCATTCAAATAATAAACTAATTTAAAAATAATCAATTTGTTTATCATCCAAGCCATTGCTGTATGTTTTTTGTAGCACTTACCATCCAAGCAATGGAAGTGCTACAAAAAACATACAGGATTTCTCTGGTCATCAATAACAAATTAATTCATCTGTGTGCTTAGAGGTTACAGTCCAATCACTTTTTCAGGTACTCCTGAAATCCTGAAACAGTTACTCCAAAGGTATTTCAGAATTAAAGGAAAGCATCAGTGTGTCAGTAACAAAAAACAAAGTACACCTCTCAGCATGTTCCCTCACTGCTTTGCATTAATGATGTGGTGTCTACAGTTTCTAAACCAACTAAAGCAATTATGAAACCAGTATGACGTAAATGATCACATTTTCATTTCCTTGCTTATAATTTTTACATTATTTAGACTCTAAGAGGGTAGACTTAGACTAGATATTAGGAAGAAATTCTTTACTGTGAGGGTGCTGAGACACTGGCACAGGCTGCTCAGGGAAGTTGTGGATGCCCCCTCCCTGGAAGTGTTCAAGGCCAGGTTGGATGGGGCTTTGGGCAACCTGGTCTGGTGGGAGGCGTCCCTGCCCATGGCAGGGGGCTGGACTGGATGATCTTTAAGGTCCCTTCCAACCCAGACCATTCTATGATTTGTAGGCAAACATAGTTCTGAATATTGTTTTTACATTAGGTTTGAAAGAAATGTGCAACAGAGGCTGGATAATGCATATGACTCACAAGTCTCTCAGGATCAGCTTGGATATGCAACTCTGAATTGAGCAAAGGATTTCATAATTTTCTAAGTTTTAAGGCTTAATTCTGCCCTACAGCTACACAATACAGCTATTTGAATTTGTTCCGAGTGAAAAAATAGGAGCTTATAGACAGATAGGTGTGATAAAAATTACTGATAATTCAGTTGACCAAAGTAAATATGGAGTCTAATCTGAAAAATACAAAATTTGACAAAATCTTATACACTAAAGGATTAACTCAGATAAGACTTTGCAGCCTCCATGGACCTTTAAAATGAAGCCAGTTATGTGAAGTTAACTTAAAAAAAAATTTAAAACCCCACTGTCCTATATGAGGCCCCATAAGCAGTTCTCAAGTTATAAACCCCAAAACCCCGACTGCAATACACAGCTAATGCTGCACATGAATCTGAGTTAGGTCAGTGGAAATATCACAGGTGGGATTTAAAAGCAGGCAAGACACAACCTAATAATGCTTGTTCTCTTGTCTGTAAGTAATTGTGTGTCATATCAGTTGTAAGACTACCTACACCGTGTTCAGCGCTCCTACCAGTACTCATAATGATAGGAGTGCTCATATTTTAAATGTTATATGCACACATGGTTATCTGTGAGAGAGGGGGATGGGGAATGACTACAGGAAAGTTTTTCCCTCTGCTGTCAAAACCAAAAAACAATTAAGATATTTTATCTTTGTCTATCTTCTCCTGTCAGTAATGCTTGCCAGAATTAAGCAGTTTAACATGTGAAGTCAGTAAAATATGTACTTATGCATATTACCACTGCTCTCCTTTCTGATCTGTGGTAAGTGAGACAATGCTCCATTAGCTTATCCTCGTCTACTTCACTCTGGCAATAAGGACTGGAATATCTGGGAATAAGAGGTAGTATACTGTCAGTGGCTGCAGGCAGAACTAATACATTCTTAGTACTACAAGCAAGAAAGGAAGTATTTAGATTTCTTTTGCCAGATATCATTAGAAGCTCCTTTTGCCCCAGCTAAAATGCAGCATGGTGTATGACATGTACCTGGGTGTGATGTACGCTCTGCTGGCAGGTCAGTGTGGCTAATGGATGCTGCGAGCACTGCACAGAACTGTGCCAGCATGTCAAAATATTGATCCAGAAAAGCGCTCGTAACATAACCATGACCTTAGAGAAGAATGGATGAAAATACTGAACACTGCAACTACAGACTTCATTTACTTGCTGTGATACACTTGGAGCATGCATGACCAAACTACCAATTCTCAGGAGCCCTCATTAAGTATCAGTGCTTTCTCACAGAGGATTCCTACTTAGTTTTCAGTGCAGAGTATGGTCTTGTTGCACAGTGGAAACACTGTCTGCAGCTTAGTGCACTTTTCAAATGTGTGTGAATAAATGTTCAAGTTTTTCTGAACATCAAAATAAAAATAACTGAGAAGGAGATAGGTCTTCTGAGCAAGGAACCTGAATAATGTGTCATTTAAGAATTCAAGTAGCAAAGAGTATAGGGACTAAATATAAATATATATATATCAAAAAAGCATTTTAACAATGATATCAAAATTGTTCATATTCATTAATGGACAAAACTAAAGGCCACTGAATTTCAAGATCTCAGTCATTCTGGAACTGAATTGAAACTGATTTCTCTAACAGGTCCTGCCCTGAAAGAGAATGAAAGGTACAAAGAATTTGAACTTCAGACATACTACACATATATTCTGTAAATATATATATTCTCTATATATACTGTAAATATATAATTAAGAAAAGCTGTCAAGTCTTAATTCAAAATGATTTCTGAAGAACAAATTATTAGAAGAGAGCCAATACATTTAGATCATTATTAGTGTTATTAATTCTGGAAATAGCCACAAATTTCAAGGAGTTTTATTTGAAAGTAAACATAATTATCCCCCAAGAAAAATAGCAAAAACTAATGAATTCTCAGAATACTGTTGTTTCTACCAAACAGGTCACATGGGGCTAAAGTCTATCAAAATCATACTAACTGCAAGAAAAACTTATTATTTTGTAGTCATTAAAGAAAAAACATCCATTCTAAGTACTATTTAAGTATGATGATTTTAAAATATTACTAAAGAATTTGTGCTCTATTCTATAAAACAGAAACAAGTTCAAATTAAAAAAAAAGAGACTACTTCACTACTTCTACCAATTTGACTTTACTATGTTAGGATAACAAACTCAAAAGTGCTTCTGCAGTGTTATCATCACCAAGACCTACCTTGTTACAGGATCTCCAAGCTCCTGTAGAGGTCCATATTTTTCTATATATTTTTCACAAGTTCTTAAATGAGCTCTCATTTCACTCAGACATACCTAAGCAATGAAAAGCAGCAGCTGGTCACGTTTTATACCATAGCACATTCATGCTAATACATCACTCTCAAAATTTTCTATTTCAAAGCCCTATTACAACATTGTGCCTATACCTAGGAAGAATTCGCATCTCCTTCAAGTACTGCCTCAGTTCCTCAAGCATTTTCTAACTGGTTCAGGACTGCTCTAATACAATTTATAGTAATAACATTCAGCTTATGAGAGTAGTCAATTTGAGTGAAATAATTAGTGGCTTGTGGTGGTTTTATCTGTCCCTTATATTGGCCCGTAATATTTTGGAATGAAATTTGGGAGGCAAAAGGGAAACATTTCTAGGCTGGGGAGGGGGACTTTCCCAGTTCACATCTTGCTCTGTTTTTAATGCTGAAAATCTAGATCAAGTCTGTTAAAAACAAAAGTATTTCAGGATGAGGGCCCAATTCTGACCTCAGTGATGTCATCAGCAAAACTTTTTAATAGATTCATTAAGGCTAAGATTTAGGTTTTATATTGCTGCATCTACTGGCTGTCCGATTTCCTTTAATTCAGAACCTCTACATGACAAACCTGGTGAAGGGCAATTGTGAGGTATTTTCTATTACAAGAAAGAATATGAAATTATATAAAGTTGCCATGTTGAGATATTAAAATATTATTTGCATGGAAACAGTGCAGAGACATTAATATTACTTATAGGTTATTCTACATTCTTAACCTTTAAACATTGATGACCAGTTCTGGTGAGTCTTGGTGACCCTGTCCTAGAGGTCTGTGTCATGGCTCCACTAAAAATGATCGTCTTGAAACACACTCATGCCTCAGTCACTTAATTGCAATTTCCAGTCCCTGGCTTGAAACTGCAAATGAAATTAGGTTTACACCAACACAGCAATCCATGCACTGGCTTGACTGAGACACTGCAGGAGCATTTGCCAAGGGTAGTCTGCCAAATATCAGAAACAACATACAAAGGTATCTTGATGCTATAATGCACTAAATGCACTCTCTTTTTTAACATCTTAGTGACTTCACTGATGGCTTTACACAAGAAATACAGCCAATGCTTCCTGCAGCCATAAGGAAGATGATAAACCACTGCAAATACCCATAATCAGATCACTTGTGTTCTCCTGCTG